AATAATAATTACACAATTCATACCAGTTTGCAGGGGCATGATCAATTGAATATAAATAGTAACATTAGATGTAGAGAATAAGTATGTGATAGAAGAAAGTTTTAAGTATAGTAGTTCATTAATTGGCTAGGTAGTACATGTATTACAGTGATCCAATGCATCAGCCGGGAATTTTTAATTTTTCTTAAATGGACAGCCTGTTGATGTTATGAACGGAGTAATTAAGGTCACTTCCTGCGCCAGATCGAATTAATGATAATTATCTACAACTAGAGAAATTAGAACGAAAACAGAGAGCACGGAACAACAAAGCAGTAATTACCAAAATATGTCAATCAGGTCTACCTCAATGCATGTGTCATGTGACAAAGTGATATACTGTTTGTGTTATTCAAATTAGTTAAACTTGCTAGGAACGGTTTTAGCATAAAGTGATAGGAAGTAGGTGATTTTACTTAGGGATTCACTAATAAAGATGGCTAAACATTTAAAGATCCCATAATATCACTTGTGGAATGAGATACACTTACAGGTAGTAGAACATTCAATGTATTTTCAGAGGAGCAGTATGCATCGATGCAGTGAACAAATAATGGGAGTGATTTTATCGTACGGATAGATTGTGGTAGGTTATTCCAGAGTCTAGAAAATTTACAGCTAAAGTAATTCATAGAAAGAGGTTATTTAGAATAAGTTCGTTCCACTAGTGCCAAGGAATTACGTATGTTATAATGAGAGGTTTCTGCATATTGAATCGCGTGATCGGATATAAACGATAGATTATGAAGTACTTTGAAGAAAAAGATAAGATTTAGTTTGAGTCTCCTCCTCCATAGAGTCTAGCCCAAGTTTATTACATCTAGAACTATAGCTTAAGGTACAATCAGCTCCAAGAATACGAAGTTTAGATCGTCTCTGTACTGATTCCAGCCTTAATTTATCCTTTATACGCGCACTGCTAAGAATAGACGTGCAATATTCTAGAAGAGGTCGTGCACAAACTTTTTACATTAGAATACGTGACTCAGTGTTGTAAAGATTTCGAGTTATGTAACCTATTAGACGTTGAGACTTAGAGGTCTGTCTCAATATCTGTTCTGTAGAAGACAAGTCTTGGGAGTACCTAAGTCCTAGGTCTACTACTGTATGTAACCTAGATAACACTTCTCCATTTATGGTAAGGTCTAGGTTGAGTGATGTATCGCCGAAGCATATCCATCCACATTTAGCCGTATCAAGCTCCATTTGCCATTTTAAGCACCACAGTGCTACCCTGTTAAGCTCCTTGCTAATGCAATTTTGCATATTTTTCAGCTCATGTGGAGAAAATGAATATACTACTTTAAGATCATCTGCATATAGAAGGGGCTTACCGACACAAAAACTTTCACAAATATCATTGATAAACACTAAAAAGGGCCTAAGACACTACCTTGCATTACACCACTTCTAACAGGGACAGCGTTAGACAATGAAGAGTTAACTTTAACTATTTGATGTCAATTGCTGAGAAAGGAATCAAACCAAGCTAGCAAAAGAATTTTGAACCCCATAAGATGCGAGTTTACCTATGAAAAGTTGGTGACTAACCATGTCAAAGGCTTTAGAAATGTTCAGATATAGCACTAAGACTAGATATCCTTGGCTACGTAGAGAATAGACTAAATTAAAGAAATCAAAATGACATGTCATGCAAATTTCATGTAAAGAATGGAATGAATGCAAAAGAGTTGAGTAAAACAAAAGAATCTTTAATATTTTGCAAACATACTTATAATATTCAAGTGTTTGCACATGAAGATCATAGAACCAGACTGGGACATGTTCCCGTATCCTAGCTGAAAGCGAGAGCTGGCTACGGCTAATGTACGTTGCTCCACAAGAGCAGGTGAAATGGTAGATGAACATGGAGGTGACTAGACGCGGAAGCTTATCTTTTATGGATACAGAAGATAAGTTCCTACTAGTGAAGATTATTCGCAGTTTTTCCACATTAAATATTCTTTTAATCGCTGTCGTTAGACGATTTTTGATTACGTCAGATGTTCGATGCCCTTTAAATCCCAAACTTATATAGAGGATTTTCTTTGGGATGGAACAACTAGATTTTCTGTCGCAACTACTTCTATTCATACTCTTCTCTGTGAAACGGTCTAGGCAGCCATTTTTTATCAGTTCTTTCTGAGGAATGCGAGTTCTTCGTCAATGCATTCCGTACTGAATATCCGATGTATTCGGTGACATAAAGAGTGGATGAGATTCATCTTTCTAATTAAAGGAACCCAGCTATAGAAGTTGGTTAGCTGGCCATTCGATGTTTGTTTTCTAAAGATGAATCTTTTTAGGGAACCATTACGTCCTCTCATCAGACGTACATTGAGAAAAGAGATTAATTAGTCTCGCTCACTTTCTAATATGAAGTCTATTGAAGGGTGGCATGAGTTGAAGGTGTGTAAGATATTCCCTAACTCAATACTATCGTCACAAATGACAAATGTGTCGTCCATGTATCTTACGTATAGGTGAAATAGACTTTTAATTGAACTGAGTTTTCTGGTTTTGCTATGAAACTGTCTGCTAAAATTGGACCCAATGGAGACCGCATTGCGATCCCATCTCTTTGTCTATATATTTCATTGTTGAAACTAAACTGGACATTAAAGGTACAATGTAACAATATTTCTTTCTAGTATTCTGTCGGTAAAACTAGATCTATGTTGTTGGAATCAATTTACTCACATATACAACATATCGTTTCGGTTAAAGGTACACTAGTGAACAAAAAGTTTACATGTGTTTTCCGGAAGTATTCACGTTTTTAATACAATCAATAAGTTGAAAAATAGTTATGGATAAACTATTTCTTTATTCTACAATGTCGCTGTTACGTTTCAGTAGAAAGAAAGTTGAAAGCTCAGTGAACTAGCAAGAAGTTAGTTTATGATACTTATCAGAAAGAAAATGAACTAAACTTTCGTTGACTCAACATGATTTTTAAAGAATTTTAGTAGAAGGTCTAACTTCACAGGGAAAAACAATATGAAATACCAGCGCATATTGAAGATCATTGATATAGTCTGTAGATAAGTTATGGTCTGACTTGTTTCTATCAAGACAGATTTGCAGATTATTCCATGAGATCAATTTTTGTTGACATTTATTCATTGAATAGTACTATTTGATGAATGAATACTTCTTACTTTTCGAACAAAATTTTCGTAATTCATGTCATTGACAAAACCTAGTTATTTGATATAACGTGATTGTAGAAAGTTGGTGACCCGTCCTAGACATAAGTTCACTTTAAGTTGTCACTTACAAGAATGAAGCATCTACAATCTAAATGAGATTTTATGCATCTTGTGAAATACAATGCCTATTCAGGCTACAACTGACCTTATGTAGAACCGTGATATATATATATATATATATATATATATATATATATATATATATATATATATATTCATTGACTGTTTTTGACATATCTGCTTTATAATACACGTGAATATAACTAACCAAAACTGGTGAATCATGTTATATTATTTCCATTTATTTAGGTAACAACATTTAACAGACTATAGTATCCTTAATAATCAAGTTGCTGCAACCATTGTAATGGTCTAAATGTATCCTAATCGTAATAAAATTTATGAAAATTGTAAACTAGGTACCATGCATTTCTCCAGTGTTTTCTGGTTCTCACTACTTTACACCTAATAACAGATTTTCTTGTAAAACAACTTCCAAAAGAAAAACAAACATTCTCGACTACCTACAGGCAGATTCAAAGCATCTTTACAGGATGCACATATATCAGCATCGATTGATCAATTACTACCTTTAACATCAATGAAAAATATAAACCGTTACAAATATCTTCTAAATCTGTTGTATAAGTTAGTAACTATCCAAATTTAATCAATAAAACGTTAACAATCTTCGTGATAACTACTAAATCTCATTATAAATAACAATACTGGTATGCAAATGCATCAAACTGACTAGTTATTGTAGATTTCACTCACAGTCACACTGCAAAATATCCCAATATGTTCACTTGGTGTTGTTTTGCTTGTATGCTTCCCATTGTTATTTAGGACTACAATTGATCAGTCTCTTGTTAATATATATGTATCCCATGCGAATTGCTTCGATATTGGTTGAAGTCATATGGTTTATAAGCCAAGATGAATAGCTGATGAGTCCCAAATAGGATTGATGAAATGCACATCGAACTGAATTCCATTACTCTAACCACTATCTATTTTTTTTTACTTATCCCAATATTTCCCTTACATATTCAACTTTCATTTATTCCTTACTTGATCAATAGTCCTGAAGTGAAAAAAAAAGATCTATAATTTGTAACATTTAGCAACTGTCATAATGTTAGTAATAATAATAATAATTCCCTATCGCCAATCAAATTAAATTAAGCTAATTGTTATGTTTAATATGAAATTGGTTAGAGTAGGCAATCATAGAGAGTAGGGAAATAATTTTTCCTCCCTCTTTTTAATATTTTCTATTCTAAACCAATATTTTATAAATGCGTTTACAGCTTTGTTTGTTCTTTCTAACTCACAATCTATTTGAGCATACAGGAGGAGGATGAGAAAATGTATTTTTTGTTTTAGGAATTCAATGGAAGAGGTGGAGAAGGATGTTTCCATAGAATTCGATCATTTCATTGTTTGTATGTTGATTTGTTTAAATGTCCTATGGATGAAGATTGTTTAATTGTGAAAATATTCAAGAGTTTATAATAGAGGAATATAAACACATAGAAAACAAACAACATCAACAAGATACAACAGAATATGGTATCGTTTTTGGGGGAGTGGGGAGGGGGAGACGGAAGAGATGAAACTATACAAATTAAACATAATTAGTGTAATCCTATTATGTAATAGTTACTCACTGGTGTAATGAAATACCACCAACAACAACAAAAAACAGTTTCTAATTACTAACATGATATCTATATATGAATAATCATGGTGATACCAAATATTGATGTTATGGAATCTAGTAATAGTAATTCAACACTTTGTTCACAAATTAATCAACCGACAAATGGACAAATTGAATTAAACTATCATTATCATCATCATCATAATCCTAATGATCATGTTGATATTAACCATGAACTTACTAACAATAACATTTATACCCATTTAGGATTGACATTACCTAATCCATTGATTAATCAATCATTACAATATCAAACAACATCTGTTGGGAACTTAACAAATAATTCAGTTCAATCATTGATAAATGAAAGTAATCATGATAGAAATTTGGGAATTACAAATGATCTAATAAGATTGACAAATGCAACAACGGGTGATTTATATTGTTCCGATAAATCATGTGAACATGTCACATTGACATCAAGTTATGTTCCATTGAATAATGAAACGATCCATTCGAAATTATGTTCAACAAACATACAACATCCAAGTCAGAGTTATGCTTATTCATATAAGACTAATAATAATAGTAATAACTCAATAATGGGACTGTCAAATCATAGATGGTTTACAGGTTTAAATAATGAAGAGAATGATAAATCATTCAAAGAAGAAGTGAAAGAACCAATATGTATTTATACTGAAACAACAAGTGCCGGTACAACAATGACAAGTAATACAAATGAAACTTCATTCATTCCATTATTTGATCCAATTGTATGGAATCCAACAAATTGGAAACAATTTGCAACAATAGCACAACATTCATATCATGATACAATGAATGATCCATTTCTATATAATCAAATGACTGGAATTCATAATAATTTTACGAATAAAACTAATCTGATTAACGTTTATCCTATTGATCAAATGACAAATGATCTATCTACTTCTTTAACAAGATCCAATTTATCTACATTGACTTCATCAAGTTTTACTAATCCAACTGTGTTTAATACTCAATTATCAAGTTATTTAACAAAAAATTCTAAAACTTTCAATCAGTGTCATAGTAGTAGTTGTTGTAGTAGTAGTGGTAGTAATAATAATAATAATAGTGGAAGTAGATTACCATTACTCCCATCATTATTAACTGACGGTTTAAGTTCTTCAACTTCCATGACAACAATCAATTCGGAACCAACATTGAAATATCATTCAAATGATTATGATCCAAATGCTTCATCTGATATTACATTAACGCAATTCTACAATAATTGTAATGTAAATAATACATTTCGAAAATTCTATCCTGAACAAAAGATATATAGTACTAATAGTAGTAATCATAGTGTTGATGGTTCCAACTCTATAGTCTACAATATGAATCACAATCATAATCAAATGGGTTTTATAAAAACTAACTTTCATCAACAATTCAATGTTTCCAAGACAATAAATTCAACGTTTAATCATTCACAAGAAGAATCTAATATTCATAGAGAAATTGACAAACTTGGAGGTAATTTCATTTGATTGAATTAGTTAATGTTTGTAATTGTTCAACATGTGTTGTTTGAAGTTTTAGTTTACTTAGTTAGTTACACGTGTTACTCCTCGTCGAGAAGTATAGGCCACTTATTAGTACTCTCCATTCAACTCTGTTCTAGGCAATCCTTTTTTGTTCTTTCCAATTGTTATTCATTCTATAATGCTCTTTGAACTTCCTATTTTTCGTTTCCCTTCAGGATTCTAAGTTAAGATAAACTATTTACAAATCTTAGTTTTAGAGCTTGTATCTGACTGTCTTCAAACATATAGCATTTAAAAGAAAATGAGGCTATACTGTTGATCATATTGCAATGTGATCGAATAGTAGTTACTCTACACCAAAGGCTAGATAAGCATAAAATTAATAACGATTCAATAAATAATCAATGTTACAATCTGAATTCTTCAGCTCTATATGTATATGTCGGTTAAGTGCAGTTGTTCATTGAAGTGAAGGTAAATATGATCTACAAGTTCTCTTTGTCAAATATTTATCTAAACAAATCACAGTAAACTTCTTTATTCCTTTAGTAGCAGTGTAATGTGACTGATACTGTGTCATTTTGAGTATTGTTGCTTTCAACTAACTTAGTACAAAAGTATTGTCTATCCTTCATTGGGATCGTCTATAAACAATGAAATTTGTTAGCATTGATAACTTATCAGATATAACCCCCCGGTTCAATCACACATTTTAATGGATATAGAAGCTTTAAATTTTGAGAGAGCTGTTTTATCATTCAGTTAGTAAACAAAAATTTAATGATTCTTATTTATTCAATCTTTTTTTCAATGTATGACCATTATATCACATAACTGATAGAGGTGCTTTGTTATGTCCAACATTGACGACTTCATATTTTATAGATTAAACTTGAATCCCTATGTGTCTCTTTTGAATTGGATACTTAACGTATCGATTTTATTGACTAAACTGCCGTTATGATTTTTATAAACTTAGTTTCGTATGAGGGAAATATCTTCATTTTCTTCATAACTGGTAAAAGGTATAAATACAAGTACTAAGTGATTGAAGATCATTGATAATATACTTTGTTAGACCTAAATTTTAACCTTGGTAGTATATTAAACAGCAAGATCTATCTGTTAAGATCATGGATATTGATTTGTAAGTAAGATTCTTTAACATTCAGTTCCCCTCTGTATGATATTTTCTAATAATCCATTAGTTTCTTTTCATTAATTAATCATAAGGAGTGTTAAATGTAATCAGTACGAAAGTTTAACATATACGAGTTTAGTTATTTCATCAGGGGTCTAGAGATTAAGCGTCCGCGCGCGAGATCGCTATATCCTGGGTTCGAATCCCGCGTGCGGAATCGTAGCTGCGCACTGCTGATGAGTCGTATAATGGGACGAAACACACGTTGACTGCTTCCAGGTTTTCAATGGTAGTCTAGCTTCAATCGACTCAGGAATTCAACTACGCAATTAGATTGTGTCTAATATTTATAAAAGGTTGTGAATATTATTGGATTTTGAAGTTTAACAACATGTAATGAAAGTAATTGTATAATCATTGAAAATTAAGAATTGTAGATTAGGTGCCCATCATATGTAATGAAACTCTGGATTTTCATGAGTTTTAGTAAGGAATTCAGCCTGTCTATGAATTTTCCTGTAATCATTCATCAGAACTACTGGTAACTGTTATAATTTCTATATAGTAATCTCCACTGCAGAAGTTCTTTTCAAAGTTAGTCACAGGTAATAACGATATTACTATTATTATTATAGTAAGGATTTATGTGAATTGTTCAATTCGAGCCACTTTTTCATGATGAATGGATAACATATAAGAACTTTCGTTTAAATTTAATCGAATAGTTTCACAGTATTTGGGGCACCGATTTGATGTGAGACATTAAAGTTGAAGAATGTAATTGATAATTGATGAAATTTCTTTGAAGAAAGCTTGAACCAGATTGCCAGATGAAACGTTGAATTTACTTCAAATTGATTTTACAAATATATTCTTCCACTTTAATGTCTCATCTGAATAACGCCTAAACACCATGGAACATTGGATAACTGTGATTAGATGGTGGTTCGAGGTAGTCGACAGGAAACCTTGGACCCGGGTTTCGTGCTACTTGGTACTCGTCAGCAAGGTGTGCCTGTAATCTTGAGGGAACTGGTGCTCCCTGGCGGATTCGATCTCGTGTCACCCAGCTTCACAGTCAGAGACGTTCTACTGAAACTTATATTGATAGTTTAAATCGACTTATAAAATATTACTTGGGGTAGTTTCTGGTTAAAATTTTACAAAATGGTCATAAAAATTCGAAATTGAATAAGCTAACGTCATTTAATGTAAAAGAACTAAGCCTAACAGTGAATTGTATAATTTAATATAGATCTGTTTATACAATTAGCAACTAGGCTAATGTTTAACCATTCTCTAAAAAAATATCGATTTTTTCTAAATAATAATCAATCCTGAACATCAATCAAGAGATTCAAGTAAATAGTACCAAATGAATTTAAAAACTTCACCTCAGTTCAGAAGTAGGCAGATATCAGAACAGAATAGCTAAGTGGATAACGCGATGACGTTTGAACCGAACAGCACTGAGTTCGAATCCCAGAGTGAAGATCAATTCTGAGATACAGGTACATCCAGTTGACGAGTCTTGAACAGGACGAAACACGTGTCAAACTGGATTCCACTGCTATCTACAACTGATCTTTGCTTAGAATATGAAACTATTCGATTGAATTTAGACGAAAATTCTTATCCGTTTGTAATTTAGAAATTTCCTTAAATAAACAATAAACTGGTAGTAAAAGCTGACTCTATTGAACAAGCTATTTTCTCACAAACAATATGGGTTAGATGATGTTAAATGTATCATTTGTAACTACTAACTTTTTATTATTAACTAAACATACATTAAAGAAGATGTATTCAATGCATTTTGAAACTTTCCTAACCATGAAGGAAAACGCTCACTAATAAGTCGGTTATGTTATTTTAATTGTAGAATTGGGATATTTTACTTCTTTTGTTATATTCCATCATCACTATTTACTAGAGTTAATGGTCATCTTTTACATACAACATTAGTGAAAATGTTTCTTTTGAACAACGCCAAAGTGATTTTGTGAATGTCTACCTAATTAATAAGGCTAAATGAACGTTAGAAAGCAGTTTAAAGAATAAAGACAATGATTTACAGTTAATGGTAAGGATTATGAATGAGATTCAGGGTTTTTCATGACGAACTGACATCAACTAAAATACCAAAGCACTATTTAACCAAATGGATAAGTGAATTTCTCGTCAAGACCTGTTATCCTAAATCTGATTAGTTCGTTCATAAATTATACTCTCACCAAGTTATGTCTTTCACGATTAAGATCGATGAATTCAAGATGAATTCTTTAGATGATTGTACCATGAAAGGCTATACATACTACTAACAATTTCTTGGTTGAATACCATCTACAATCCTAATATAGTCAATCATATATAACTTGCAAAAAGGAAAGATAACATTTCAATATAAACTTGTTACTTATATATTATCATTTGTGCTTATAACATCACTAATGAAGGATTTTCTAATTCGATGGGTATTTCGTTTTTTTTTGGTAAGTGTCTGAAGCTTCACTGATTTATTAGCTCTAGTCATATATTAAACACTTGGATCCATTATATATTGAATTCTGTACTGTATTCTAAAAATCAAGGATTGTTACATCATCGGTAATGATTATTTATGCCCTAAAAGAAAAACAGTGGAGATTTACTCAGAGTTTCTAGAGTAACCAATGAGAACGATTTCTGGCAAATTTAAATAATTTCCCTCATTGAAATCATGAGTCAATTGAAGCTAGACCACCACGGAAAACCTGGAAGCACTGGACTGCCGTTTCGTCCTAATACGGGTCTAGTTGGTTAAGCGCCTGGCGCGAGACTGATAGGTCTTGGGTTCGGATCTCGCGGGGTGCAGGATCGTGGGTTCGCACTGCTGAGTAGTCCCATACTAGGACGGATTGGCCGTCCAGTGCTTCCAGGTTTTCCATGGTGGTTTAGCTTCAATGGACTCATGATTTCAATCTGTGAAATTTCCTAAAAATCTCCACAAAACCCCTTCTGAAAATTTAAATAATGACCAGGTGCTTTTCTTTTGAACCTCGTATTAAAATATGGATTATTATACAATCTGGAAGCATAGAATTAATAAGTCGCATAAACTGAATTAATTTCTTATAACAAGTTTTTCGAGCAGTACACTTATATGTTTTCTTAAGGTGAATTACATGTATAAAACATGATGATTATGTGTGCCGTTATGAAATCTGATAAAGTCAACTATCCCTAGAAAGTTTTTACTACCTTTATCACTATTATGATTAGCTTTATTCAATATTATATATGTGATACAATACAGAATTCTCAGCACAATGTATTCCAGCAAGTTTCCATTTCTTACTTCTTGGTCGACCCTGACAATAAATATTAAGTAATCGCTAGTTAGAAGTTAGCAATCTAGTCAATCGACATTTAAATAATATACATTCTTTTCAATGTATGCTGCTAGCAACCATGATACCTCTGATTGGGCCATTTTGTACTGTGTACAAGAAAAAGTTGTACACATTTCAGAAGCACATCATAATTATCATAACAGTATCTTAATCAAATATGAATGAAACAGATAGGGACGTGGATCATCTATATGAAAAAGTAGTGAATACTTCTAATTTGAAGCAAACTGAGATTCATTAGATAACAATCAAGTTTATAATTTGCTAAAGACAATATCTATTCCTATAATCATAATGCATATGAAACTTAAATTCGATTAAAAAGTAACCATACAGCTAGCATGTAATCTAAATATAGAAACTCAGTTGTTACACGATGGCTTTATCTATTTGTCATTATATATATAAGCAATGATGGATAGTGGTTAGCACTAGAATCCAGTTTGACTCGCATTTCGACCTATTTGGAA